CCTCGAATTCCCTCATACCAAAACATAGGGTTAGAAGTGATATATTATGGAATAAAATGCGGGGAAAAGTAATCAAGAAATGTTAACATACAAATTACCATGCTGCATTTCAGAATTAAAGGTTTATTTCATAAAGTAACTCACCATCTCGTCATATCCAAGAATCACTGTTAAATTAATCGACTCATTTAACATCTAAGTAATAAAATCTGTTTTAAAAAACTGCAGCAGTAGCAGCATCTGTTAAAAAAAAAAAAAACCAAAACTATTGCTACAAGATTTCAACATACATAAAATATATAGAAGATATATGAAGAGTATTTCAAAGTGGTTTTCAACTCCTAGTAAATCAAAAATCACTAACAGCAAATCAATTACTAGTAAATCAAGAATCTCCATGATAAAAACCATTTGATCAACAACAAAACCAATAATGCAAGACTTTGCTCACATAGAATTGCCACAAAGTTTACAGCTTCACATGAGCGAACAAGAAAAGACATTCTCATCACTAAAAGCTTGGCAAGATAACTGATGAGAAGGAGGACAAGAAGGGAACATAATCACATTTTCATTACCATTGGTATCTTGACATTCATTTAAGTTCTCCGCTTCCCTTTTGCAGCGGGGACAGCAACAAGAGCAGCATTCTGCTAATTGGCTTATAACCTCAGCATGCTTCCCCAACCGACTCTTCACATGTTGTACGAGTTGTATTGCATTCACAACTCCTCTCACAACTATTTGTGACTCCTCCTTGTTCACATCAACAGACACAACGCCTTTCATCTTCTCAAGGCTTCTATGCACATCACTTGCACAACACTCACAGTGTATGTAGGATTTCAGAATCACGGTCTTGAGTGGAGGCTGTTTCTTCTGCTGTGCGTCTTCTGTGTTGTTGCGGTGAGGGTCAATTCTTGGTGAAATGAGGTCAACGTTTTTGCTGTATTTCTTTCTCAGTCTTTTTAACACTTTCAATGGCTCCGCCTTCTTGCCTTTCACTATCACTTTCTGATTTTCTCTGTCAACCACCACCTGCTCCACTCCTATACACACACACACGCACATATATAATCAAAGCATCAGTCTAATATAATATACCTTGTTTGCAAACTGTAATTTGTAAATGAGGTCTTATAATTAGGACATGAGGTAGTGTGTGTATATATATATATATGAAGAATGATTGACTACCATTAATTTAGAATTTAATTTACTTTTTTTACAGTTATATTTAAAAGTTTAAATTATTAACATTCTATAGGAACTTTGCTAGGATTATGATAAGTGCGAAGACTAAAAAAAACTTATGAAAACATTCTCAAATTATTTACTAATGAGATTTTCATATCAGCAGCATAATTCATAATTTAAATTTTCTAAGGTGAATTCGCTTGATTTGGAAAAAGATATAAATACTTGACAGTAACTCTAAATTGACTTTACATAAAGTGAGGTAAAAAAAAAAAATAAAATAAACACATGAGACTCACATGTTAGATCAGCAGTCGGCCGATTATTATTTGTCTTTTTCTTATTTTAGGAAACTTAGTACTTTCATTACATTCTTTGAAAGAAAAGCCATATTCCATAATTCAAACCAATGTTGTTATATGGTAGAGGTCGTATTCATATCAATTTCCATAATTCTACTATAATTTAAACCAACTTTTATTGGCATTAACCTAAGATCATATTAATATACTACTTCCAATCTTTAATATAATAGTTAATTAACTAATTTGATTATATTAAGAAAATTAATTAAGTTAGTTATTTATAATAAATAAGTGTTGTCTTTCCTAAAATATGCTTACTAATCAAGTGTATTAATTAAAACTATTATTATTACAAAGAGTACCATGAAAATAAATAAATAAATATGATAGACAAAATGGATTGGCACTACAAAAAAACAGCTTATTACTGACAGAATTAGCAATAGAAAATTATTTTGCCACTAATTTCTAATGGATTACAATGGAAATTCCGTCACTAAATTTAGTGACGGATTAGTGATGATATTTCTGTCAATCGCATTCCCTCCCTAATCTGTTAGAAAATCCATCAATAAATATTTAGCGATGGAATTTTTTTCCGTCAGAAATTTTCACTGCTAATTTTGTCGCTAAATTGTTTGTCAAAGAAGTTTTTGTCACTAATTTTGTCACTAACTCTATTCCATCGCAATTATGTCGCTAATCCGTCACTAATTTTAAACATCATTATTTTAGATTAGAATCTTACAGCAATTTATATAATAACATAATTAAGAATATAATGATTTAAATATATTTTTAATTGTAAAATAAATTGATATACTTATGGAGTTGGTGTTAATAAAAGTATTATCATCATTCATGTCATCATTAGGTGTATACAGAGAATAGAAAGACAATTTATTATAAAATTTGTTTATATTTCGTTAAAATCAATTCCTTTTGATTATTAATAATGATTAAAAAAATATAATAAGAATATTAATAACTTTCTTATCCAAACTGATATAAGAAAGAAATAATTTTATCATATATATGATATATTGAAAGATATAATATATGACAAAAATTCAAAACCGAAAAAATAAATTTATATGAACACAAACTAATATTGAAATGAATTTTAAATTTCAATCATTGAACAATAAAATTTAATCATAATATAATTAATATCCATGATATAAATTGATTTTGGTCTTCAATACAAAAACAAATGGTGTATACAAAGAGTTTTAAGAAAATAAATTACATAGGACACATATACAAGCATGAAAATATTGTTTATCATAATCTATTCAAATCATTTAATTTTTTATAGAGAATAATTTATTAGATTTTATTATAGTAGCTATTTTTTGAATAACAAGATTTTTTGACTAATTATAAATGGTTTTCATCAAATATATAAAACACATATAGATAATATAATGTAATGTAATATAATACATATATAACTAAATTATATATCTTATCAATGTTAATTAAAAAATAAATTTTTAAAAAATATTTATGAAAAAATTATTTATGATTTAAAATTTAAAATGATTGTCATTGGAAATTAAAATTATATTAAAAATATTTTTTTAAAAAATAAAACATTATAAAATAAAGACTAATTAAAACAAATACTTAAAAATTGTTTTTCATTAAATAGTTATGATTAAAATTATCATATACTTTATTTTTAGTTTTTAATAACATATGTGTATATAAAATTGTTTATGTAAAATAATATTACATATATTTAATTATACATAATAAGTCAATAGGTTCATTGCAACTCAAATAGTAAAACCGCACAAGCACACAGACGAGGTCCTGGGTTCGAGTCATGAAGAAGTCACTTTGAGAAAGAAATTATGTGGTGGCAACACCTGGCCTCACAAGGTGACGTGAGAGGTGGCAGCACACATGGCAGTAGAGGTGAGGTGGTAGTGACACATGGCGATCGTCGTCAAAGGTGGTAGGGACAAGTGGAGGTGGTAGGTGGTTGTCACTGGTGATGACGTGGCAACTGATAGAGACACCATATGGCATTTAAAAATTTTTTTTTTCAAAAATTGAGTTAGCAATGGATTTTTCTGTTGCTAATTTGTGACTAAAATTCTATTAGTAATTAGCAACGGATTAGTGATGAAAAATTTCTGTCTGTAATTAGCGATAGAATTACCAACAGAAATTTTTTGTCGATAATCCAATTAACGATAAAGGAGTTAGCGAAAAAAATTCTGTCACTAATTCGATTCCATCACTAATCCGTGGTTAATTCTGTAGCTAAATAAAAAAATCCCGTCGCTAAATTCCATTGCTAATAACATGTTTTTTTTTGTAGTATGGAGTCTTATATTTAGAATCAAAATAATATTTAATTAGTTCTTATATTAAGGACCAGAGGTAGTATTATACATTTTGATATTATAAGAAACAAATTATTTGAAGAACTATTAATATCTTCAATCTTGAATATAGGAGGTAGAAAAAAAGTTTATAAAGATCAACAAAATTAAGTTATTTGTTAAAAAAATGTGTTATTTCTTTTTCAAAAATCCTCTTTAATTATTTACACTATAAAACTATTCACATTGGTGGAAACCACTTTACGATGTGCAATTAAGACGGAGGATTTGTGAAAAAAAATTATAAATTTAATGGACAAATTGGATTGGAATACTCAAAACAAACTTTTTAATTAACTTTTATATCTAGGAGGGAGAGAACTGTTTCTCTCCAAAACAGTTTGAGCAACTATGCCAATTCTACTAGAAAAACAGAAGAAGCATATACAAGGGACCCATAATTAAACTCGCATATACCCTCACAAATTACCTTACCTTCAAAGACTCTCAAGCATTTGGACACTTGTTCTGAGCATCCTTCACAATGTAGAAATGCTTTTAGCACAATATCCTCTCCTTCCTTGACATCAATACACCAAAAATCAAATCAGTTTATAATTAACCAAATTAATAATGACAATAAAACAAGTAATTTGTATTCTGCGCTATACTTTCTTACCATCTCCATTTTCTCATAACCTTCTGTGTGTTGAACTGTGGATGGAATATATATATATAGAGAGAGAGAGTGTGTGTGTGTGCGCGCGCGCGCGCGTGCCTGTGAGTGTGTATCTATATATATAACTATCACATACCAACATTTAGAGAAAGATTCTGCAAATAAATGTGGAGATTGCAACAGAGAGATCGTGTATTATTTCTGCCAAATTGTGTGTGTGTGTGTGTGTGTGTGTGTTTTTGGTCAAATGCCAAATTGAGTTTTCTTTTGCAAATTTTATTGTTATGAGGTTTCCATTATAATTTCAGATTTGCAAACGTAAACCCAATAAACCATGTATCCCCCCTGGATAAAGAAAAACCATAATGAATAACATTATATGTGTCGCATGTAATCTCATTTTTTCGGAAAAGAAAAATAATTATGGCATTTATAATGATACTGTTTATATGCAATGTACAGATAAAAAAACAAATTATACAAATGTACACGATTCTTTCTTCATTTTTTTATGCGGATCCAATGGGAACTTGTGTTGAAAATTCCAGAAACTACAAGTTTTGGTTAGCAAATACAGAAACAAATAAATAATAAATCATTTTTAATGAATTAACAATTAACAATTTAGTTTTATTTTAAACTTTGGATCTACCAAAGCATCAAACTATTAAAAATATAAAAGTAAAATAAGAGATTAACATCTTTCATATTTCATCCATACTTGCATTAAGGGGAAAAAAAGAAAATGACCAACGGATATTGATTTTAGTGGGAAGGGCTTTGACCACTTAAATACAAAATTTGAGTGCTAATATTTTTTGTGAATGCAAAAAGGGTCTTTGAAAGAGCTACTCCTAATTAGTGGACTCAATAATACACAAATATAATCAAATCAGATTGTCACGTAAAAAAAACGAACATTATTTAAAACCTGTCAAATCTTTTTTTCTAAACTCTTTACTTTTCCAATATGACTTTTTTATTGGACAATGTCTAGTTTTGTTATGAAAGTTTTCACTGAAGAGCTGTGAGTATTCAGATTTTTTTTTAGTAATGTCACCCGAAAGTTATCAAAATGTAGCAATGTGGTTCTAACTATTATCTCCCATCAACTTTCCTGTAAAAGACATGTGGCACTCAATATGCCACCTCATTGCCATTTCATCGCCACCTCATCTTTTCCTCTCTCTCCATCTCATCATCTTCTCCTTCCTCTCTCTCCGCCCTTCACTCCCCATGTCGCCGACCATCATGCCCCATTCCTCTCTCCCTCCTTCATTCCCATCTTCATTACCATTTCCCCTTTCCGCTCTCCCTCCTTCATTCCCATGTCCGTGCTTTCCTCTTTCCTCCGCCTTTGACATAGCACAATTTTTATATTGCCAATAAGGCAACAAGCAAAGAACGGAAACCCTCATGGAGAAACAAAGGAACCCACAAACCATGATCTGGATCAATGTCGTCGGATCTGGATCCCTAAGCCATCGTCTAAACTAGAACCATAACCTTCCTTCCCTTCCTATTCGAGATCTGAAACCCCGAGCCTAAAATCAGCATTCTTTGAAGTCAAACCCATGACAGCGCCAACAATTGCGTGTTTCTCATTCTTCCCTCGTCTTTACGGTGACCTGTATTTAGAACCCCCGGAAAAAGGGGGGGGGGGGGAGCTGCCAGTTGGGTGCTGCCCCCTGCTTTCTCTTAATTTTGAGGTTTTTACCAAAATTTTTTTTATGATTCTTTTTACAATTAGATTCTACATAAAATAAGTAACGTTTTGATATCTTATTTGTTAAAAAATATTTGGGAATTACCCCAAAATTGAGGGAGGGAGCACCCTAATTCGGAATCTCTTCTCTTTCTTTCCCATCCCATTCCCTCCTCTTTTTTATTTTTTTAGATCAACATATTTCAATAGTTTATATTTTAATTTTTTTATAAACTATTTATTAAAAAAAATCTTTAAACATTTAGTTTATTTACAAACTATTAGAATTAAATTTTAATATAGTTTGTAATTTATTATTTATTTATTTTTATAATTTAATATTTTGATAATAGTTTTAGAAAGATTTAAATTAAACTGTTTAAATATTAATCTAATGGTTAAAAATGGAAAAGAAGAAAACAATGGGAAGGAAAGCAGAGAGGCTCCGATCCGGGTAGCACCTAAGGCATAGCTGGCACCCCCTTCCCATTTAGAACACATCAGAAATGGCAAACACAGGTCCTAAAGGAATCGACGAAGTCCAAATGACAAGAACATGTGGCCTCTACTACGCAAAACCTGCTCTTCTAGTTCGACTTTACATTCTGTTATTTAATTTCGAACCCCATTCTCTTAGCTATCTCTGGTTTAACAAGAAATTAGCTTCTTCTTCTTTTTTGGCCTGAAACATGAAATTAGCTTTACAATCTGATTTATTATAACTTTTCTTATGTGACATGAAATTGTTTTGTTTGATATGGGGTTGATTTGAAGAAAGTGGATGCTGTAATTTTTGTTTTCTTTGATAAAAAATGCAAAGACAAAGGATGCTGTAATTTTGTTTTTATAAATGTTTTCTCCTATTCTCAAGCAACCCCTAAGAGTATGAGAAGAGTATGAGTTGTGGAACTGGATATGGTAGTGAAATGGGGAAGACAATGATGACGACTTATGATTTACTTGGTCGATGAAGACAATAAACATGGAAGCAAAGGAGGAAGGGAGCGAGGAAAGAGAAGATGATAAGGTGGAGAAAGAGAAGTTTTACACCTTACTTGTATACTACCTTAGAGTCTATTTTATGTCAATTTAGACCACTTCGGATGGCCTTAGCCTAAAAAAAAAGCAGATTAGGACGTTACTTATGGATTCATTGTGCATTTGATAATTCCAGAATTTCTGTTTAACTTTGAAAATTCGTAACTAATTTTAGAAAAATCAAAATGGAGTAGTTCCAAATTCTACAAAAAGCTCTTTGAATGCTCTTTCAAGAAAAAATAATATTAGAAACCAATTCAATGTGAAACAGTTCCAGATTTTTATGAAATTTACTACTATTCCATTGGACAAAAACTTTTTCCAGATTTCAAACCCTAATTTTGAAAAATCACTATAAATCGTACATATATCCAAATTGAACATTCTAAATATTGATTTGAAGCTTAAGATGTGAATTATAATCATGCCAAATTTTAAATTTAATACTAATAGAAGCTTAGTCAAAGTACAGCTTCAAGATAGCATCTTAAAGGGTTACAACATCCATGTATACATTTATTTACAATTGTCAAAAGTTAAGGGAGTTTCATAAATATACATTATTCTTTCAAGGTTTTCTTCTTCTTCCTAGATGGTTCAGTCCCTAGAAAAATTATTTTCATTTGAAAGGAATGAGATTTCATTGAAATCCCAATAGCAAGATAAAATCAACCATGATATCAAATATGCACTATCATCAAGTATTTCAACATTTGTTATCAATAGGGAACTAATCCCTCCTCATACTTAGGCAATCTCTAACATGCAACACCCAAGGCATTTCAATGCAAGGAATAGCCACATAGACATTCATCATAGCTCAACCACATAATAGCAATCATTCATGCATCAACAATCAATGCAATATCAACATTAAAGTTAATTAAATCTTGCTATCTAGATCCAAGTGCTCTCTTGGTCTTTGTTCTTGCTCTTTTCCTCTACAAATATCCAATCCTAAATATCACATTACAAAGGAACAACCATGTTACAACTTAAACCACACAAGACATAATGACAAATTCTTAAATAACCCTTAATAGTTAATTCTTTGAATTTTAGAGCTTTGTTTCCTTTAACCTAAAAATTTTCCCCTTACATCAATCCTACATAATTTTTCATGTAGAATCCAAATATGAGCTTGGATTCATGAAAAGAAAATTCCTTCCTCTCCAAACAGGTCTAGCCAAATAGTACGACATAAAAGCCCTAAGTTTCCAACTTTAATTCCAATGCTTCTAAAGCTTGCTCTTTAGGTTTACCTTACAATATTTTCCACTTTAATCCCAATGGAAGTATCAAAACTCACAAAATAACATCCTAGGGTAAAGATTCAGAGTTGGTCGAACAGCACCCATACTAACCATATCATATAATTTTTCCAATTTCAACACAATACCATTTGAAACAAGCTATAACCAACGTCTTTCAACTAGGTTTAACATCAAAATCATCCTCCCCTATCTCTAACACATTTTGCCCAGCACCTCCCTTTAGGGGAATCAACATTTTTCCACTATCAAACTCAAGAAAACAAGGCATAATACAAGATAGAATATAAAACTAACCTTTTTTTTTTTTTGATAAGTTGGAAATACAAAGCAAAGGTAAAGCAAGAAACAGAAAGAAGAAAAAAAAAAAAGGCAGCTAGTCCCTCGTATCTAAGAGAAGTAATTGCACCGTGGCAGCAGGGCCAAAGAGTTAAAGGTCGTATCTTGCAGCTAAACCACGCTTCACAAGCATGTCCGCCTTTCTATTCTTGTCACTGTCAATATGTTGAAGGCTCACCTTCCAATTTCTTTGAAGCATGTTCTTGATTTCCTCATTCAAAGTGGACTCCTCATGCAAGTCTATTTAGGGCATCTAAATTAGACTTAAAGACTCTTGAGAGTCACTCTTCAAGATGATCTGTCTGAAACCCCCTTCCTAAGCTCACTTGAGTCCGATAAGGCATCCCTAAAGTTCTGCCTTAAGTGCATCTCCCGTTTGAAAATAGAAGTGGAAACCTTTAATGATATCTCCTGTACTACTAGTCAGAATGCCCTCACAAGCTACATGCTGATTATACTATGAGAAGGCTCCATCTACCTCTACCTGGGTGTCAAAATCTGTAGAACTTAGCTCTCTTGTGGTCTGAAACTTGTTGCCTCCTCTGATATTAACAGCCTTAAGCTTGTCCTAGGCATTTTCCATGCTTCGAAGAATAGCACAAGCTCTGGCATGAACATTGCTAATCTGTGGATTTGTGTTAGCATGAACAATTTAT